CTAGTTTTCTACTGAAATCATAGCAATTAAACACTGCGCCAAAGAAATAAAAAAGTTAGAAACACACTCTGACGGTCAAGCGGCACTTAAGGCCTGGTGCGAGGTAAAGGAAAAAGGCTTGGGAATTGTATGTGAGTCCTGGTACAATTCAGTGACATCAATGATCTGACCTACAGTACAGATAGAAGCACTGTGCTGATGCCTAGGAAGAAGAGAAGACCTCAAAACACGTTTTATGCTTTTGTGAGCGTCTATGTAGATTCTTGCTACCAGGAGAAGAAAAGCCGCAAGCAAGACCCTACACCAAGGAGCCGCTGGCAAGGATATGAACCTTGATTAACAAAGCTGGCAATGAGCTATAAAAATAGATGACCTCAATGGACTCACATATGAAGACCAGTTTAGTGGACAAAAATGCAGACTTGCCTTCAGCAATGGAAGTCGCACTGGTGTTGCCACAGTTGAGGATGGCATACCAAACGACCAACAGGTTCTTAGTACAACATGAAATAACCTGACCAAAATAAAAAGGACTAAAATAAATAAGAAGTGTTACAGAAATTGCTCAGTACCTTACAAATAAAAATAACAACAGAAAGTATTCGGATGAATAAAAACACTAAAACTTATATTATGGTAAAGAGATCTTTAGTGACGGGAAGTATTGGTGGCCATGAAAAAGGCCGGTGTTGTTTTGTAGCGTCGAGACGATGAATCGAGGGCGAGACCGTGTGCGTGGTGCCTTTGAGGGTGGTCTGTGACCGAGTGAACCATTGGCTGAGGTCCGGGGGCCGTGAATCGGTTGACTCCGAAGTGGCTGAAGGGACTCGATGTTGCAATTAGCCGAGTGCAGCAGATGGAGTTGTTATCCAAGTCTGCTGTGTTGAGAAGGAGAGAATCAGGCTAATGTTACGAGTACCCTTGCTGTCCTCGTTGTCGATGTAGGTGTTCCATTAGTGATTTGTAAGATCTCTTTGAGGAGACGAGTCTGCTGTCTATCGATTAGGGATGGGTGAGACCTCGTCGTGCTGACGAGTCTGGTTTCAGTGGGGCAATGCCCCTGCTTACGGAAGGGTTCTAGTCCGATTGGCTGCAGGGCAAGAAAATTCCATAAGCGGTAGTGGCATCTAGCGGTAACTAGATGTGGCCACCACGAGGTCCAAAAATGATTTTGGACTAGGAGGAAGCGAGTAGAAGGTTGCTCGATGTGTCCCGCTTAAGTGAAGGATTCTTTAGCTCTATTTAGAGAGTCTGTAGTAATGCCAACCAATATGAGAATCGTACTTGAGCACGACAGCGAGTATTTGCGTCCTCTTTTCCTAAGTTTATATGAAACAGAAGTACTCTACTGCTTAGTATTCTATATACATCTAGTCCTGTGTTCCTTTGGTTATATTGAAACAATGCATTTATTAGCGTGAGTGTGTACTGAGAAAGAGCCTATGGTATTGAGTACCATAACGACTATTTCATTAATTAAAATGTGTAAAGGGTGATGGAGGAATATCGAGTACTTCACTACCCTAACTGAGTGAATTCTAATGTAAATAGGAAGGAATGCGCTTTGGGAGATGACCAAGGTATGATAGCCCCTGGAGCAAATTGGTGGCAGGACGGATAAGATCGAGGCACAATTGCTTGGCTAGTTGTTCTTCATGCACAAAGACCGAAGCTAAAACTTTCCGAACTATTCTAACTAAAGTGGGTTATATTTCATTTTTAGTTTAGAAACAACTAGCGCGTGCAAAAACATGCGGACATCTAATGAAGAAGAACCAGGGTTGTCGGATCAGAATGACAGATGTACAACAAATCGCAGGCCGACCAGGAAAAAAAAACCAAAGTTTTGATTTATTTGCTTGAGAACTGTTCATGATGTAAGGACTTTTGACCTCGAATAACAAACGAGTGCTGTCGGCCCTGTATCGCTGATGATTGATCGCTGCCCCAACTCACTACGAGGAAAAGAATTTACGTTAAAATAAATCGTGTCGACTAGATTGTTTAAATTGTCGAATTAATTTTAAAAACAATAACTCTGGCTTTCCTCCAAGTAATTTTATTCCTTTTTCGATATTAGACTTGGCTTTTCTTCAAGGGTTCTCATGGATCGCCGTTTAAGTCAGGTGGGCGTATATAGACTTGACGTCATTTAGAGGTAGAACAATACAAGCAATTATTTGGTTATCTTCCTATGTCAAACTCAGTTCTATTTCTAAAATTACCCGGACCGAGTTGTTATTAAAGCGGGAAATTGGATTGGTGTATTGTAACAATAGGAAAATTCTATCCTCTATCGATAATAAAGAGTACAGAAATGAAATTACGATCCTTTTTATCCTGAATTTAGGGAATAAAGACGCATTTTGAACTAGTCCGACAAAAACAGATCATCTATCCCTATCATCAAGCTTCAATAGACAAGTGATTCGACACCCTTGTGCGCTGATTGATGATCTGCGAATGATCAACTAATCCCCGCCATTGGATCTTGATTTGCCGAGAGAGAGAACAATTAATTGATGATGACATCAACAAATTGGGAGCGAGAATTTGCAAATCGTTCTTCACACAATACGAAAAATATTTATTCTAAGATGGATTAAACAGTATAGAGTAGGTAAAATTATTTTTCAAACCTTGACCGTACAACATACAACTGTTACAAATTATATTTTACATTAGATATGAATATTTATAAGGAAAACAAGACATACAGTTATGATCATTTAATAAGGAAAATGCCTTTCTTTTCACCGCCTTTTCACTAAAGTAAAAATATTTTTCTGATAACTTCAAAAATTCAAGGTATACCTTTTTTATATTAATATCTTATAAGACACCTTCCGATTTTCTTGTATATACCGATTATCATATTTTTAAATTTAATCATATGAAAGTTTAATGAAATTTGAATGTAAATTGGAGAATGTGAAAGAAAGTAATTCGTGTAAAAAGTAGTCTAGAAGTGTATAAACTTTAAGGTCAGTGTAAAAAAAAAAAAAAAAAAAAAAAAAAAAGAAGGAGTAACATAAACACATAAGTAGAAGGAAGCGATGATGATGATGATAAATCCTTTATTTATCAATCACACAAGATTTGGTCTCAAAGACTATACTTACATCTAATTTGAAATACAATGGTTACTAAGTTGATGGGCAGATATGGATAGACAAGTAGATTGATAGATAGATAGATGAATAGATAGATATGTAGAGTGAGAGAGAGAGAGAGAGAGAGAGAGAGAGAGAGAGAGAGAGAGAGAGAGAGAGTGAGGGAAAGGGAGAAAATGTTACGTAGATAAATAGATGGATAAAGGTTAATTACAAATAGAAAGAAAGAAAGAGGGAGGGAGAGGGAGAGAGAAAGAGAGAGAGAGAGAGAGAGAGAGAGAGAGAGAGAGAGTGTTGTGTGTGTGTGTGTGTGTGTGTGTGTGAGAGAGAGAGAGAGAGAAAGAGGGGGAGTGAGAGGGGGTGAGGGATAGGGAGATAATGTTACGTAGATAGATAGATGGATAGAAGGTTAGTTACAAATAGAAAGAAAGAGAAAGAGAAAGAGAGAGAGAGAGAGAGAGAGAGATAGAGAGAGAGAGAGTTTTATGTAGATAGATATATGGATAGAGAAGTAGGTAGAAAAAGAAAAAAAGAAAAAGAGAGAAAGATAGACAGATTGAATAACGATTTATTTATTAAAATACACGCAAAAGTTAGGCCTCTAGGCCATTTATTACACTTTTAACGTGTAATTACAATTATATTATTATCAGACATAAAATGGAAATAACAAATTATTGTAAAATCAACAATAAAGTAAATAAATAAAGTAAGAGTTATTTTTTATACAGAGCATATTGCTTATACATGGCAAAAATAAATAGACTTCGGCTAAGCACCGTTAACGATAAATAAGTAAGTACATATAGTACAAGTTATATAAACAAAATTAGATATCGATTGTTTGTAAGATTCTTAAAAACTAGATTAGAAACCTACTGGAATTGGAACATAATTTTACGATTTAAAAATGAAATAAAATCCTGATAAAATGATTAATAACGTTTTACGTAAGTTCATACAAATATATATAATAAAAGTATATGAGTATGATGTGAAGGTAAATAAGTAAACATTAAATAAGGTAAATGCTAATTTGTAGTGTTATATTCAAAATATTTACTTAAAAAGATTAGCCAATGATTATAATTATTCTTTAAGTTTTACTTTGTATGATTTTATGCTTTTTATTTGAACTACATATTTGTTTCGGTATTGAGTTAAATGAATTGCTAAGTGTTTTTTTTTATGTGTTTTGGAAGATGAATTAAATAATTAGCTGTTCTGGTATTAATGTTATGGATATTGTGTTGAAATTTAAAATTATGAAACATGTAGGAAGGGTTATTAATTTGTAGCATTTTGTACAAAAAGGTATGGAATAGATTTGTAGGTCTTTAACTTTTAACATTTTTAGAGAGAGAGAGAGAGAGAGAGAGAGAGAGAGAGAGAGAGAGAGAGAGAGAGAGAGAGAGAGATGGATAGAGATAGATTAAAATATAGAGTTAGAGAAATATATAGAAAGAGAAAAAGAGAGAAGAGACTCACAAAGAGACAGAAAGATAAATAAGTAGAAAGAAGAATAGGCAGATAGAGATAGAAAAATAGAGATAGATAGAAAGAAAAACATACATAGATAGTTATAGACTAACACAAACATAAAAAAAATTATATTAATACACAATTTGTGAGATCCAACTTTAACCTAATAAAAATGCAAAAGAAAAAAATGTTCAAGGAACAAGCCAAACACATAAAAAAGGCAAAAACAAAGCAACCAAAGTAGAAAAATGTTTTCAGTAAAAGGATAAAACAAAAAAAGAGCACCTATATAGACACTAATTGGGTTGTAGAACCCAATTTTAACTTAATAAAAAGAAAAATTCAACCTTAAAATAAAACAAAAACTCTAAGAAAAGACAATAATAAACATAATAAACAGCCAAAGCAGAAAACTTAGGTTAAATTTTTCTTTTTATGTAATCGATCGATGTAATTAGGCAATTTTTTATCATACACATTTTTTTAGTATTTGGTGGAATGATTTATTCTCTGATAATGAATGACGGTCGTTATTAGATTATATGATAGATTAAACATTTAAAAACCCGGTACGTTCGCCAAAACCGAGTTGCCAAATTGGTCTCCGTCCTCGACTCCCACTGAGACGTTTAAAGAAACTCGTTAAAAATAAATAAAAAGAGGGCCTGCCAGGTCGTAAAGTAAAGGATGAAAATTGCAACGGGGAAAACTTATCTAGGGATTTTCAGGCCTTCTCATATCGAGAAATAATATTAATTACTGAACTGGCGAAGACTGAATCTTCCGGGTGGAAATCTATCCGGGTTTTTTGTGATGTGCTGTTTATCTTTCTTTCAATTAGCAATTTGCCGGAAGAAGGCCATGACTCTTCTGCCCGATAACAATTTCCAGATGATGTTATGCTGATTTTCTCGTCTGTTATTCAGACCATTTTAACAGATTAGGAGGTGTTCAGGGTTATTTTATGCTTTTCCTTGTATCTCACGTTCCATTTTTTTAGTCCTGATTCACCGAGGAATTACTTGATCCTGTATCGGTCATCCCAGGGATGTGATGTAGGTCCTAAAACACATCCTCTTTGCAGAATCGAAGCGCACGGTTTTATTCGACGCTGATATTTCTCAGATACCCATTGAGCCTGCATTCATTAAAAAAAACTGTTAGTTTTAAGAGAATCTTCCAGGGTATATTTCAGTACATTAAATTCAACAATGACTTTTTTTTAAATTTGTTACCTATACATGATAGTATACTATACAAATATGTACATATGATTAATATATCACACAGCACAACACTAGCACAAATGCCAGTATTGCATTGGTAGAACACATGCTTTGAGGAGCTAGCCATTGCTGGCACTCAATGTGTATGATTAGGGGTCAAGGAGGTCCAGAGGCCATCGTCGGTTGAGGCGGCGTGGAGGGTTGTCAGGATGGGAAAGATTGGAGTGGGCTCGAGCAAGGTTAGGATCGTTTGAAAGGTTAGTGTGGAAGGTATGGAATCTGGATCGGATTAGGTCGCTGACAAAAGGAATGTTGAGATCTTTGTGGATAGTGAGGTTAGTGACATAATAAGGTGCTTTGACGATTTGTCTAAGGGACTTTCGACTGGAAAGACTGGATGAGCTGGATATTGGAAGGCTTGGCATTACAACACAGTTCCACTCCGTTTGTCCATATTGGTCTTAGTAAAGTCCTTGTACAGTGTTAGCTTTGTCTTGTCAAAGTCGGTTTCGGTCTTGGAAGTCTTCGTAGTAGCCAAAGTCTTGTATTAAGTTGCTGTTTTTTAAGTCTTGTACGGGGATCCCACGTCAGTCGGCAGTCGAGATTATAGTCCCAGGTATTTGATTTGAGTGGAAGCTGGTATCTCTTGTGGCAAGACTGCTTTTTCAGCGTAAAAGTACACTGAGAGCATTTTTTTCTTCGTTCAGTCTTGTCCTCCATTTTGGACACAGGTCTTTGATAAGCTCAAGGTGTTCCTGGATGTTGGAGGTAACTTAGAATTCGAGTTAGAGGATAGGATTGCGGGGTCGTAGGCGTAGGTGGTGATAATAGTCTTAGGATGCATTGGTAGGTCAGCAGTATAAATGACATATAGGATAGGACCAAGGATACTCCCTTGTGGTACACCTGTAGAAAGTATGCCGAGGCGTCTTCGAGATGAAATTAAGTTATTTAATTAATTATGTAATTATGGATTCGAGTTAGAGGATTGGATTGGGGTCTCGTCCGCGTAGATGATAATAGTGTCAGGATGTATTGTACAAGAGGTAGGTCAGCAGTATAAATGATATATAGGATAGGGCCAAGGATGCTACCTTGCAGTACACCGGCCTGTATCTGTTTGACTTCCGAGAATTCATTGCCGCACTCACTCTGAAACAGCGATCAGAAGGATTTCAATAAAAGGTAATAATGAGATGGTAGGAAGCGCTTAAGTTTAAAAAGTATGCCTGGATGCCAGACCCGCAATGACATATACGTCCCAGAATACGGTCTAAGGATGGGGACCCAACATCAGCCATTCTAGCAGAGGTGTTTCTCCAAAACCTCGGAGAAAACCTCTTCTCAAAAGTAATCTCTGAGAACGAATAAGGCGTTGCGCGGTTCGCATTTGCTCGAGAACACAGCCATTGGTCTTTGGACGAATGGTCTGCGGTACGTTTTACAGATAAGTGTAGATTTGCGCCACGATCTCCAGATGGGCGTGAAAGAGCATGGAGAAGTCGAAATGAAAGGTACGAAGCCTGTAATTTTTTCCAGATCCAACCTTTTTAACGTAGCTCAGTGAGTGTTGGCGGACATTTCAATGGAGAGTCACACAGGTGTTGGTTGTTGTTCGTGTGTCAATTCTTTGACGGCCACTGATGTGGATGAAATTTTGGAACATCATGCGTTGTCTATGCCTCGATGAAATCATTCGACAATCCTATCCTAAAGCACCATAATGCCCGTCCACATGTCGCTCGTCTAGTACAAACCTTCAACAGCACAACATCATGGTCTTAGCCTGGCCAGCCCGTTCTCCAGACTCGAAGCCCATCGAACATTTATGGATTAACCTCAAAAGACAAATAAGTGCACGTCGAAATGAATTCAATCGATCAAGGGTCAATTCCTGATACATTCCACGATCTTGACAGAATTCTTCGTGAAGAATGGGCTAACCTCCAGCAACGAGACATTTCCAGACTGGTAGAAAGTATCCACTAGGCGTCTTCGAGATGTAATTAAGGCAAGGGGAGGAAATACGCGATATTGAAATGTTACTTAAAAATCTAATTAAAACAAATTTTATCTCTCCGTCATACATTACATTTTTTTACTTTTTTAGACAAAGACTCAATTATTAAACGTTAAAAAACGTGAAAATTTGATTAATATATAAAAATATATATAAACCAAGTTATATTACAAGTGGGCGGAAATTTTTGCCTGCCAGTGTAGAAAAACCGCAATTTTTGATTTGAACTCGGTTCAGTACTGAATTGAATTTAAACTTGGTGCAACGGGTCCTAATCTAGAAGGCTGTTTTGAGTTTGGGGAAACCCAACTTCCTTGTGTCCATCATAAATAACATGAATATACAAATCAATTTATATTACAAGTGGGCGGAAATTTTTGCCTGTCAGTGTAGAAAAACCGCAATTTTTGATTTGAACTCGGTTCAGTACTGAACTGAGTTTAAACTTGGTGTAACGGGTCCTAATCTAGAAGGCTGTTTTGAGCCTGGGGAAACCCAACTTCCTAGTCTCCATCATAAATAACATGAATATACAAATCAAGTTATATTACAAGTGGGCGGAAATTTTTGCCTCAGTATAGGAAAACCGCAATTTTTGATTTGAACTCGGTTCAGTGATGAATTGAGTTTAAACTTGGTGCAACGGTCCTAATCTAGAAGGCTGTTTTGTGTTTGGGGAAAACCCAACTTCCTAGTCTCCATTTAACGGGCAATTTATTTAGGATAATCCAACATTTGGATTAAATTACAAATATTTCTTTAATAATAAATTCTTCTTGCCTTTGTCATTTAAAAAACTTAGATTATACACATGTCCATACATAATGTGGACAAGCAGGATTTTACTATGCAAACCACTATGCGCGTTCAGCATATTTCTTAACAATAGGATGACTGTCAACATTACGATAATATTCATCATTGAGAAATACGTGGCTGGAGAATTCGTAGTTGTGTAATAGGGGCCCGAGAGGAGGAAATCGCAACGTCCAAGCAGTTTTATCAAAGGGGACTGGAAGTGAGTCATCGCAATGGCGTGGAAGGGGAGCCATGTATTTTCATACGAGGAGGGGATGGCACACCCGACTTACAGAATACAGAACCGCAAGGAAGAGGGTCTCGGGCCAGGTACAGCTCAAGTAGGTACCAAAGGGTCTTGACGTCGCTCTGCCATTAACACCGAGGGATTATCTTCTTTTTAAGCTAATTCTTGGGTAAATAACCGTTTACAAACCGAATAGTATGATCAATCCTGCTCAAGAAAATAGATTTTATATGCAATAGAAATCACATAAAATAAATAAAAACTATATGTTAAAGGACAAAACCCAGATTGAATTAAAGATTACCTTTTTTGAAAAAAAATCCAGTCACCGGGTCCTGTTCATTCTTCAAGAAAGGAACTTACAAATGTTTTTTCGTATTTGTTAAAAATGACATAATAAAACATATAAATCTTCATTTATATTATAGTTACGGTACCTGGTGACTCATGTAAGGAACAGCAAGTAAGGAGATATACAAGTCATAAAATTATTATTTCTCAGATTTTCACGATCTTGAAACATAAACAAAATAAAGCGCGATATTTATTGCTGATTTCTGGCTGTGAGACTGTCGTTGGGTCGATTTTGATCATATTGGTCTTCCTTATCCCCTCGTCTTCCCTATTGAAGCTGGCGGGTGATGGTTCGCACAAGTTGAACCGGTCTGCACTCTCGGTGTTTATTTGTGATTCGTACGCGTTTTGGCTTCTCGCCATATTCAGTGATGTCTCTGTTATTTTGTAAGCCGTTGGAAATTTCTCTCGCCCTCACGTTGTTCATATCCCAAATGATCGGAAATGACCAAATTTAAAGTAATCAACTGGCGAATATCAAATGTGTTCTGAATGATTGAAAATAGCAACTTCCAGTGAGGTTGAGAAAAAAACATCTACTGTTTGGCAGAGCGTTGAAGTAAAACAAAAGACTTGCAAGAAAAGAACCTGCTTCACTGCTAACTTGATCCAAATCCTTCTGCATGTCAATTCACATATACAACTAGTTTGAATAGTCTGACAGTAAAGAAGCATTGGAAATTAAAGCTGGGTGTCTGCGAGTCCGAAAACTCATGTTGAACTACAATAATAGTACTATAAACAATATCGGTCTAGATTATGAATTTACACAAGCCTACCTTATTGGCCTAAATCATTGCTCTTTTTAGGGCACTTCTGAACTTGGTTAGCATTGCACCACCTCGCTAGCCAAGGATGTGACAAGTTCATGCATGTAAAATCTTTCTGTGTTCTGAGAAGTCCCCTTGGGGATAAGTCCGGACGTTAAAGATCCTCATGGGTCTCAACATCCATGAGTAAAGATGGGAAAATCCTTTTCAACTTAAAAAGCGCTGAAGTTTGTATTTGTTTTAAAATAAAATGACAGCAATTGCAAAATGGAAAGGATTATAATCGAAATAATAATAAAAATTCTGATACCAATGACAATGTATCCAAGTTGTCCTTTTTAGATGTCCTGGCTGAATTTCTCTTGAACCAATGACGATATAAAAAAAAGTTGCCTTTTTTTGGAGAAAAAATTATACAGGGTATCTCAGATCCAATTCAAATCCAACATTTCAAATACGACCCTGTATATCCTAACACATCATGTTAAATGATTCTTTTCTACATTTACTTAGAAATCGAGAGATGCGGTCTGGTGTGATGTAGGTTTCAGAAAAACATTTTCTTTATCGTGCCAACGTTTCGATCTTTATTGAGATCATCTTCAGGGCTCAAAATGTTTGCTTTCTTCTTTTGCATTTTGAACTACCTTATACAAATCAGAATTATAAAATTTGTTAAGTGATTATTCAGAAATCGTGAGATGCGGTCTGGGGTGATGTAGGTTTCAGAAAAACATTTTCTTTATCATGCCAACGTTTCGATCTTTATTGAGATCATCTTCAGGGCCTGGGATTTACAAACATTGTTTACATATAACAATTACATTTTGGATGTGGAAAAGTGAATTTATACAATGCTAAATATATTTTTTTTATATATTCAATCAAAGTATTTGTACTCACTCAAAGTGTTTGTCTTCTGTGTAATTGTACCATTCTTGCGTGTCGAGTCGAGAGTGCCAGTGAGATTTTGCTATTTTGTGTTTATATACGTTGGATTTTGAAGGGGGAAGCACAAAACTTACTGAAATGACTAACAACAGTCAAAAGTAAAGAATTTTTTTTTGCAAAAACATTTGTAAGTATGTCTGGTTCGAATTCAGGGCCGGTAGATTCGAACCCGGGACCTTTACCTCTCTGTTAGTAGTCGCCATGTCAACCGTTAGGGGTCACCGAAGCCCCTGAACGAGTTCTTTATGCTTTCGAAAGTACATATTTAAATACAAACCCCGAGCTTTTTTTATTTTTTTAACTTAGATTGATCAACGGGCGCGAGAGGATGAGAGGATCGATAATCTGAAAGAGCAATGAGTCTTGGTAAGTTCCGATGAATCATAGAAGAAGAAAAAATCGATTCCTTGAAAGCTGCCGATGGTTTAAGCAGTGGGTGAAAAGAAACATCCATTTTCTATCGCTCAGGTTTCATAAACGTTTTGATTTTTGAAATCATTGATAAGAAAATCCTGGCGTATTGGAATCTATCAAGTTGATTTTTACTGTTTTTAATGACTAAGGACTAGCGGTGCATATTTTATGGAACCTATTGGGTAGAAATACTCATGAAAAATAAAGTAGAACGAATCAATAAAATTAAAAAGTTCACTAATTTCGTGGTCCGTTTGACCAATTAATATATTACAATTAATTAAGGTTTTTAGTCGAGATAAAAAAGTCAATGGCACGAGCGGGATTCGAACTCACGATCTTCGGCTAGATACGCCGCTGCTCTACCACTTGAGCTATCGAGTCCTCGATCCACAAGGACACTGACTTCCCATCTCAACCGCACCTTTTGAATTTTCCCTCCTTTTTGCCATTTTTCATCGTATCTAGCCGAAGATCGTGGGTTCGAATCCCGCTCGTGCCGTTGACTTTTCTATCTCAACTAAAAACCTTAATTAATTGTAAAATTAAAAAGCTAATAACAATGCCTACTGAATATTGAAGTTTCTTTATTTTTATGAATTCTTCTACGTTTCTTTTTGAACATGTAGGCAAAATAGAGGAGGTAAGTACTGCGGTAGTAACGGGACTAGACTGGACGGTTGTTCGGTTTCTCAGAAATTTAATTGATGATTGGATCCAGCATGCTCAAATTTTACAAGTCTCCGAAAGGTTCAGGTTCAATAGCCAGTGTTAATGGAATATTTAAAAAACGTCAGTACCACGACAGCTACTTAAACTTTCGGATTTATAGAGGATGATGTGTTAGGATTTGTTAATATTAATCAAGAATAATCAAGTTGGCTCTGGAAATTAAGATGGCTTTGCACCAGCTGGGCATTCGGCAGATTTGAACAGTGTTACCCGATGTAAGGTTGGTGAGATATTCTCTTATAATTGTTGAATTTTCTTGTTGTATCCAAGTTTTGCCAATATGTTTGTGGGGTTCTATTCATTAAATTTGTTTGCTTGTGTTAATTACACTTGATTGTGCTTTTTTTAATTTCTTTTATTACGGATATTTTATAAACCCGGTTCAATATGAGGGTAAAGCGCAGTGTGTTGCACGAATGTCCTTCGAAACAGTTCAAATATTCGGTTTGTCGAACGATTTGTTAGCAACTAACGATATTTTTACGTCTAAACTAAGGTATAGTGTAGAGTTTTGTTGCAGGTTGGAATTAGGAATCTCCGGTCCGCTTATTTTCGCTGTCGCGGACTGATTGACGGATTGCAGTGGAAATTGCTGACCGGAGATGGTCGGTTTAACCTAGATAAGGTTTAATTTTGATTTTTTCTATTCTGAAGAGTGCATTCGTTTTCCGGTTTTTTGAGCCAAATTGGACATACCAACTTTCAGAAATATTAAATTCACTATTAATTAAGGTTTTTAGTTGAGATGAAAAAAAAGCTAATGGCACGAGAGGGATTCGAACCCACGACCTTCGGCTAGATACGCCGCTGCTCTACCACTTGAGCTATCGTGACCTCGATCTACTCGGACATCAACTCCNATAGCTCAAGTGGTAGAGCAGCGGCGTATCAAGCCGAAGATCGTGGGTTCGAATCCCGCTCGTGACACTGACTTTTTTATCTCAACTAAAAACCTTAATTAATTAAAATAAGGTTTAATTTTGATTTTTTCTATTGTGATGAGTGCTTTCGTTTTCCGGTTTTTTGAGCGTAGCCAAATTGGACATACCAACATTCAGAAGTATGTCATGAATATGTGCTGATTAGTATTCCTGTAGCCACTGTGTCAGAATGAATACAGCACAATCAAATTTTAAAAATTTATTACTCTTGTTCAACTTGGTATTATTACTGTGTGCATTTTCCTCATCCATTGTCCTACACTTTTTGAACCAATCTTTAATATTGAACTTCTCTCTTATTCTTATTGTTCTCGAATGTTAGAAGTTTCTTTGATAGAATTTGGCTTAGAAGACAAAATTGCTGTATCAATTAAAATTAAACTGTGAAATTTCTGGGGGTGATGAACTTCGAGTTTGGTCGTTAAAGTTTTGATCTGTTTATTCACGCTTTTTGTTGTAAGGAACTAATTATTAGGCCAGTGAACTTCTGAACGAGGAAAAGTGCATCGTGCATTGTTAATTTTTAATTAATAAACGGTTATGCGCCATTCGGTAAGAGAAATGCACCGCCATTGAACAACCACGGGCGGACTTTCCTCAACATGTTTTGCATTTGGCGTGGTTGGAGGGGACCGCTTTACAACGCACTGCTTCCTGTCAGCGGATCGATGCCGCCGAATACGGCCGACTCGGCCGTCTGAATTCATCTGTAAATAAAAACCGGCCTGAATTAGAAATATTAAAATTCGATTTTTGACCATTTCCTGGGACTCGTTTAAAAATCGTTTTCGAGCTCCAGTCGGATCAGCTTTTCCGCTAACGGAGTCCACTGATATGGCGAAACGCTGATAAACGGTCGGCAATTTGATGCAGTAATGATGAATATTGAAATGAGCTTTAATGTGAGCTTACTTTAAATTTAATTATTCAGAAATTGTGAGATGCGGTTTGATGAGATGCATGTCTAAGAAAAACCATTTTCTTTATTGTGCTACGTTTCGATCTTTATTGAGATCATCTTCAGTGCCTGGGATTTATAAACATTGTTTAAATTTAACAAAAACATGTAGGATGTGGAAAAAAGAGAATTTATACAATGCAAAAAATATTTTTTTATTCAATCAAAGTATTTCTATTAATCACCACATACTTTAAATTTAAGCTAGTCCTGTTGGCCTTCGAGGTTTTGATCGATAAACCGGTGATAAGTACAAATTTGAAATTTTTGTACCACTCTATCATAATTTTTCTTTCATTTTATGAAAACATTCCTGCTCGACCTTGATCATTCTAGACTTCCATCTTTGCTGTATGTTTTAGCTGAACATATTTCAGCAAATTATTTTATTGGCTTCTCACATTTAGACCATAATCTTCGGCCAATAATATTTTCCGCAATAAAAACTTTTATACTTATCGCCTTTCATTACCATGAAACTCGATCGACCTTTCCGTTGGTGATGAATTCCTCGAGATTAAAAGCTCACGGAATATCTGACACCATCGGGACGTCAAAGCCCGAGTGTCATCTATAGAATGATGTCCGGAATGACCAGCATTATCTCTTTATAAAACTTTTGCTGATCCAGTCTTTTTCTGAGTGACCCCGTAGATTTGGCCGACCACGAACTCTTTATGATATGACCGAGGTTGAACCAAAAGTGTGCGCACAAATTGGCCCTAAATTCCACTAGCTTTTAAATAAATATTCGTCACATAGAATACAAAGGTATTTGTCGCAAATTTATTAAGGTTATTTATAAGTTTTTTACTCAACAGGTAGAGAGCATCCACTGAAGATGAAGAGGTGAGCATCAGCGACGTAAAGCGAAGGTTATATAGGACAGCGTTTACGGGCATAATTCTCAGATAGAGGGTGTCAAAGATTCGACTCTCCCTGTTTATAACCTTGACGTCGCGCCATCTGTCTACGGTATTTTCTCGGTCAATGGAAGCTTCTTTCTACGGATGACACTT